TATGTAGATAAATATTGTTGTTGTGAACAAAATTGCTGGTATTATGAGCCACTACATGTTAGGCATGTCATCCTCCCATTACTCCACCCTTAGGATGCAAGCTTCCCAAGAAATCCTTATTGGTTTAATAACCTTGAACAGGAATTTGATCCTACACCATGGACAAAGACTCTAAAGCTCATAAAATCCAAATTAAAATTATGTTTAATTAAGTCTGTTTAAATTTGTCAATGTGTCACCAGTGTTGCAACCTCACTCATTGTGTTGTCAACTCGCAACAAAAAAAGCTCCATAACATCAAAAGACATGCTCCCTCGAAAGCAACACCAAAGAGAATTCGATGTTCTTTTGTCTAGTCATGTTTGTTTTTTAACTTTATTTTAGAATCTTAAATAACCTTTATCAAAAGATGTGTCAATTATGTGTCTACCTTAATCATATCAATGTAAGCTTTAATAAAGGTATAAGAATCTTATAAGCTTTAGTCATGTTATGCCGCTATCGTCAAATAGTGATTGGTTGGTTTGGTAGTATTTTTGTAAGCCTTCCAAAGGCAACTCCTTCGCCTTAAAAGAGGCATTGTAGAATTCATCAAAACATCTTATAAAAACTTGTGTGAAATATCAAATATGTGTTTCTAAAAGTTCTTTTCTTAGCTACTCGCTCGTTTTAGCTAGTAGCTGAGTATGAATCCACTACTCAAACAGAGTAAATTCAATTAATATAAATTTCTTTAAAAATAGAATAAATCATACAAAAATCTAAAAATCTACATAGTGATAGGAATTATGTAAGAAGAAAAAGTAAAGTTACATGCAAATTTGATTTGAATACAAAATATAACAATTGTATTTGGGTAAAATACATTGACACCCTCATGTTTTAACCATAATTCTATACAGGTCCTTTAGTTTTCAAAATAAACACTTCGACCCAAACGTGTAAACGACGTTAATGCCTACACATCAAATGTCTAAAATGTTCTTCTTTTTCCACCCTTTTCTTTTCTCTTTGATTGATTGATGACACTCCTTTACATCAGCCAGCCACCACACTACTAGATCAAGCCATTAAATACCAAATTCGGCCGAAACCCTCTAAGGGAACACCAAATTGTGCTCCCCAAAATAGTGTTCTGTAAATCGAGGGAGCACACTTGATCGTGCTCCCCCCTCGAATCTAAGGAGCACCGATAGTGGTGCTCCCAGATCATGCTCCTTAGAGGAGCGTCGAGATGTGCACTCCTTGGCTAGATCTAGTCGAGAGGTGGTCAGCCAGTGAGAGGTAGGATAGATTTTTCTTTCTAAAAAAAATTATAATTTGGTAATTTTAAAAATTAATTAAGGGAAAAATTGTCAAGTCATTATTGTCACGTCATCAAACAAACAAAAATATTATTAGTTGACTAATGGCTAGACTTATATGTCCAGTGAAAGATGTTTTGTTAGAATTAAGTGTTCAATTTGAAAACTAATAGATCCATGTCAAAGTATGGTTAAAACTTAAGAATGTTAGGTGGCGTTTGGTATAAGGGATGTAAGCCACATTCCCTACAATGTGGCTTATTAAATTACATTGCAGTGTTTGTTTTGTAACAGATCACTTGTAAGTAAGATTGCAATGCAATCACATTGCAGCCAATAGATGTAATGGATTGCAGTCCAAAACCAATGCAATCACATTACATTGCACTCTGCAAGTTTCTTAAAGACAATTTTACCCTTCAACTTTATTATCTTATTAAAAATATTTTATAATATTATAATTAAATAAATATATAATTATAAAATAAAAATTAAAATAAAATAAATAAATATAAAAAATTAATATTTATATAATATAGATAAAACAAATTAAAATAAAATATATAATATAAAAATATATTAAAGAAATGAAAATAAAATATATAAAATTATAATAATAAATAAAAAAAAAAATATATGACATTAAAAATATATTTAAAATATGATATTATATAAAAATTAATAATATAAATATAAATATATTAAAAATAAAATATAAAATATTATAATAAATAAATAAAAATAAAATATATGACATTAAAAATATATTTAAGAAATGATATTATATAAAAATTAATAATATAAATATAAATATATTAAAAATAAATATAATTATTTTATAATAATAAATAAAAATAAAATATATGATATTAAAAAATATATTTAAAAATGATATTATATAAAAATTAATAATAAAAAATATAAATATATTAAATTTATATTTTAATAATTAGGGGTAATTTTGACAATTAGCATTACATTCCCACTAAAGTACTTGTAAACCAAACACTGCAATATTATCTTCCCTGCATTTTAATCATTGTTTTACTTACATACCAAACACTGTAATGTTATTTTTCCTGTAATCACATTACTTACAATCACATTACTTGCAATTACATTACCTGTAATCACATTGCATTGTAATGTACCAAACGCCACCTTAATGTATTTTATCCATTATATTTTCTTTAAATAATATTTCTTAGACAACTTTTGATGCAATAATTAGTGTCAAATGTTTATTAATCAATTTACTAGTAAATTCATAATTTAAGGAGTTAAAAATCAAATGAAACAATGCCCACATTAAAAGTAGTATAAGAAATCAAATTAATAATTAGGTATAGAACATAAAAGGTATGCAAATTATAAAATATTCTATGCTTCATTATTAGAAACTTTCACAAAGGGGGAAGGGAGCATTTCATAAATTTTTGGAGAGGTAAAAGTCAAAATTTACCTTTTTATTTGAGAAAAAGCTATTTTGCCAAGTTTTCAAGAGCCAAGAGGACTGTAATTTCTATCCATTAGAGAACAAATTTCCGAAACTCCTTTTTTTTATCCAATAAATACATAACTCATTAATTTTTTTTTTCAAAAGGAGTAATAATAATTTATTGTTGGATAGAGGTGTTCACAAATTGAATTGCTTCACATGAATTTTTAAATTTAGACCCAAGTCGAAGAAAATATTATATTAGTAAATAATATATTTTTATTCAATTTCAATTTTAAAATATATTTTTAAATTTTAATAATAAAGAACATAAATATGAGGGCCAGGCCAAACTTGGGCCGTTACTGAGGTTTTAAGTGGGAACCTTGTCCCACCCATGAAACCTTTATTCTCAAACTGTCCCAAATCCACTAATCCAAAAGTTAGTAGAACCTTGTGCCTCTTATACCATGCCAAATCTTATTAAAGACTTAGTATGTAACAGCTATTTAGCGAAAATTAGATAAAAAAAAAGACAGAATAGCAAAATTGTAAATGGGATTGAAAATACGTGTCACGTGTCAAGTGTCTTTATTAAATATTAATATATACTAAATATATTATTAATTTGGTTAAATTACAAGATTATTTAAAACATGAAACATCTAATTATAGTTCAATTTGCCATTTAAATTAAACTGCTAACTTAAACATTTTGTTATTTAACAGACATTCTTTCCTTTATACCTTTTAACATGAGATGGTATCTCACACTTAAAATATTATTGAAAATATCGAATAAAAATCAGGTGAAATCCACCGGCAAAGGTATATCCTGCTGGTTTGGTGGACTAAAATAGGAAACAGTGAATATGCGGTAGAGATAGGACCATATATAGGGTTGCCGCTAAATTGAGGTGGAGCTTCTTGAATCCTAGTCAGGCTTTGTGTCATAATATTAAGGTAATCTGTCAGAGGTAAAATGCTAATGGAGTTGCAGTGTCAAGGATGCATGTGTTGTTCTGTTACACCATCGGTTGCATGGCGATGCCTTGTTTAGGACAAATTCACCTTTATAAAATTCTAGAGGTAAGAAATGCCATTTTTCGTTGGATGATGAAAACTACAGCCAAACACCATAGGAATTGGATATAACCTTTGAAATATTAGTTGCTCAAAGGGAAAAATCCATCATGAGGTTTGTTTTTCAGTTATAGACGTATAAACCAAGAGCTTCAAATGATTACCTTTATTAATATCATAATCTATTCTCATTAAAAAAAAAAGGCTATAATTGATCAACTTTCATGGGTGCATCAAATTGTCAAATATCTTAATTATTACATTCTTCAAGTATAGATACACAAAATCATATAATTGTTGGAGCAGCCTTAATGCTGATTGAAACCGAAGGAACAAACTTCTATTTTCAGTAAATTTAGGAGAAGAAGAAGAAGAAGAAGAAGAAGAAGAAGAGAAGGATCGATGAAGAAGATAGCTAGCTAGCTTGCCTTACTTGATACCTGAAATGGAAAACAGCCGAAAGCTGGAGGAAAATTTGTAGCACTACGTAGAACATGAATATGCTAGGTTCAAATTGATAAGTACATAATTTAGAAGCCCATCTGTCGTTATAATAAGGTAATCTGTCATAAGCAAAAGCGATATACTATGTCATCTTCTTGTACGTATTTGTAAATGTTACTTTAAGTTTGGGCATGATCCTCCCATCTTTAAGTCCTATTTAAAATCCTTGTATGTTTGAAAAAACTTAATAACAAGACTTGGCAAGTAGTCTCTACTTACCAATCCGGTGGACATTTCAGGCCTTCTAAAGTGCTCAACCATTTAGAACCAACCAGATGTCAAACTTTGAACCTGGAACGATCCATTTTATCGACATCTCACTTCCTTTCCATAATTTATCCTGAAATTAACCTTTTAGAAGAAAGATCAGCAAAAGACAAAATGGGTCAAGTTTAGTTGCATCAAAATGGGGCCACAACTGCCAATTACCATATACTTTGGTAAAAACCAGATAATATTTGCCTCAGGGCATAGCTTAGAAGAGTGTAAACATTTTTTTTTTTAGCAGCAGCTCTTCCCCTTGATAAGAAGAGGCAAAAGAAGCAAATAAACAGAAACATCTATCCCTGGTTTAGTTTGGAGAAAAGCATCTTAATAGCAGTAAACAGCATTTTGTCAGAATTTAAGAGCGTCTGTAAGAATCTATTCAATCATATAATACTATCTTGAATGTAGACACGAAACAAATTATTGGTATCTTATGCCCCACATTGGTGTTAAAATGAAATCATTATGGGCCAATCTCTTACTTTGTCATTTTCATAACAACAATAATAATATTTTGAAGATTTTTAAAAATAACGAGGGGTGGTTTGGAAGAAAATAATCATAGAATCCGGCACAAAAACAAATGAATGAAAGCACCTTCTCAACGGCTACCCTCAAAAGCAAAACAAAGAAAATTGGAGGGAGAGATGGTAGCTTCCATTTCTTAACCAAACCAAACACAGCCCACCATTTCCCATCGAAAGGTAAGCAAGCAATACCAACTTTTTCCTCTCATCTGCTTTTTCTTTTCCTTCAAGTACATCTTTCTTTCTCTCTCTCTCTATCCAAAATAGGGTTGTTGGAAATATGTTGTTGAGTATTCTCTAAATTTAACTTCACTTGCTCCATACGTACACTTGAGGAGATTACTGTACTCTGTAACATCTTAGTTCTTTATGCACATCCTCAGAAGCATTTCCATTTTCTTCATATTGTTCAAGCATTAACTTCAAAACTCATTACAAAAATTGGGCTAAACTTGATCTTTTCATCTCCTCTCCATCATCTGTCTTGTGACACCAAGCAATTTCTCATAATTGCAAAGGAGACATGAAACTAGACTCTCTCTCTCCAATTGTCTGTTTCATGTAATATAATCTGTCAATTCATCATCAAAGATAGATAGATCGACCCAAGGAAGAGACAATGCCTTTCAGGTTAGTATCAGCATGGAACAAGCGCCGGAGAAGCAAGTCCCAGGATCATACTGACCCTTGTATGTATTCACCTTCAAGTGATAACCAGTTCATCCCTTGACAGTGGCTTTTTTATGTTCCTTCATATTACCTACCTACTTTTCAGGGATTTATAAACCAGCAGCGTATTGGCAAATTGAGGATCAAGCACCACGGCCAACTAAAAGACACCATGGATCATCAGTTTTCACACTGAAGGAGATGGAGGAGGCAACATGCTATTTTAGTGATGAGAATCTATTAGGGAAAGGAGGATTTGGCCGAGTCTACAAGGGCACTCTGCGATCTGGAGAGGTATTTATGATTTTCGTGTTGTTTTGGAATAGGATGCATGTTCCATGAATAAATTATGCTACCTCAATAAGTCAGTCACATCATTTATAGTGCTATCCTGAACAAGTTTAAGAATTTTCATTTAATTAAAAACTTATATTATAGGAGTAATCAACCAAAAAGAGTGATAGAAACATACAAAAGCTATCTTCTGTTTCTGAAGGTTGTTGCAATCAAGAAAATGGAGCTGCCACCATTCAAAGAGGCTGAAGGAGAACGTGAGTTCCGTGTAGAAGTTGATATCTTGAGCAGACTGGACCATCCAAATCTGGTTTCCTTGATAGGGTATTGTGCAGATGGAAAGCACCGGTTTCTAGTCTACGAATACATGCAAAAAGGGAACCTGCAAGATCACTTAAATGGTTGGTTTCACTCAAATCTGTTTCCAATCTAATGCCTAATCCATTTTACATCTATCAATCTTAAACTGCTCAATAGGTATTGGGGAAACAAAAATGGATTGGCCTTTAAGGCTCAAAGTGGCACTTGGAACAGCCAGGGGACTTGCTTATCTCCATTCTAGTTCCGCTGTTGGAATTCCAATAGTTCACAGAGATTTCAAGTCTACCAATGTTCTTCTAAATGCCAACATTGAAGCAAAGGTGAGAGACATAGATACTTTGCATGAAGCATTGACATTATAATGCATTTGTAACTAAAACTCAATTTGCTACTCTTCACAGATATCAGATTTTGGACTTGCCAAACTAATGCCAGAGGGTCAGGAGACTTATGTGACTGCCAGAGTCCTTGGCACATTTGGCTACTTTGATCCTGAGTATACATCAGTATGCATCTTCATGTTACAAAAGTTTTCCCTACACTTTTACATGATTTTGCTAATGTTTGAAGAGTTTTCAATATTGTTTTATCAAATTCTTTGTTTTTCAACGACTATTGTATGTTAAAACTATTGAGCTTCATGCATTCTAACCTTCCTGGGTCTATGGGACATGCAAAAGAACTAGTTAAAAACGAAAATTTAAGAGTCATTAATCTTACCAAAATTGCAGAAGGATCATGGAATGCAAAAACTACACAATTAGGCAGTATGTGTTGACCAACACAATTATATGCATGTAAAGTGTCTGGTAACTCAAATATTCTTGTAAACATAAAACATAGAGATCAGAGAGTAAAGACATTTACAAGAGAGTTGTTAGCTTTGTAGGAATGAAGGTTTTCCATTATGAATTTATGGATTTCTAGGTCAAAATTTTCCATTATACGTTTTGTTTGAGACTTTCAGGGTGCTATTTTGGTTTGCTGAGTCAAACATAATCCATATATCCAACAAAGCAGCACAATCAGCCTTAAGAAGGGTTTGTAAACTGCAATTAAATCACTACAGTTTTACCCAACCCTAAAAACAAAACAAGAAGAAAGAGTTAGGAAGATTATACAGAGCCAAGATACGTTGGCAAAATATAGATCTAACCTTCCCATCCACCAACACTTAAAATATGTGGGTTTGCTTCCAGCCACCAGCTTTGCATTCAATGCTATAGATTATTTAATACACTATATATCTTTTCATGAATTGGTTAAACAACTGGGTAGTTTAATTCACTTGAAACAAACATCTTAAATTTAGTGAAACCCTTATAATTCCAAAAGTAAAGAGAGAAATCACCTTATCCATACCATGCAGTCTAAGTTCCAATCAGTAACAAATGGGATAGTCGGATTTCTATATCTGAATTTTTCTCTTCTTCCAAATAAAAATTACTGATAAGTATAAAATACACGAAGGTGATCCTTTACAAGCAAATATCTCATTCTTCAACCTTCAATATAATAAAATAATATGAGATGTCAGATTTTGCTCAACTAGATTTAATTAGCGATAGCAAGTATGGTCTTGGTTTTTCATTTGTCTTCTCTGGTGACAGACAGGAAAACTAACTGTACAAAGTGATGTTTATGCATTTGGAGTCGTTCTTCTAGAGCTTTTGACAGGACGCAGAGCTGTAGACATAAACCAGGGACCAAATGATCAAAACCTTGTAATCCAGGTATGTAAAAACTTCTCATTCAAACAGTTTGTGACTCAAGTTTCAAGGACTTCAGCATAGTAGGCAGGGAAAATGAACTAATACGTGGGTGGTCCATGATTCAGGTTAGACACATACTGAATGACCGGAAGAAGTTACATAAGGTGATCGATCCAGAGATGGCTCGAAGTTCTTACACCATTGAATCTATAGCTATGTTTGCAAATCTGGCATCACGCTGTGTCCGTGTTGAGAGCAGAGAGCGGCCCTCAATGCCAGAATGTGTAAAAGAACTCCAACTGATTTTCTGTACAAATGCGAAAGGCCTAGGTGTGGCTTTTAGGATTGGTTGAGGAATGCGGATGTTTTACCAGCCGTGAAACTGTAACATATCAACAATAAGGATCTTCCAAACTATGACCAAACACTATTACCATGGCAATTTGATAAGAGGCAGGGAAAAGAAAAAAGGTATTTGAGTTATATATGAGTCAAAACAGAAGAAATTTGAGTAGGGTCATATTGAGAGTGGTTTCATGGAAAAATAACTATTGGAGAACTGAGAAAACAGAAGTGATCATAGTTCTTCATATGTTTAGTTGCTTTTTTTTTTTTTAAATACCTCAGATGTTTAGTTCTAGTCTAGCATCATCAGTTTGTTTGGTAATGTTTTGCTTAGTGCAGCTAATTCTATGCATTCTATAGTGTATAAACACAGTGAAATAATAAGTATTCTGCACCAAAATAAATAAGAGAACAAATAGTGCTCTTTAATTTCATTTGCACCAACAATAACCAAAGCTCACTCAAGGATGTTTCCTTTTCTCCCTTTCCTGTTCATAAGTTCAAGCTCAAAAATCTGAAATCTATAAATCCCAGGTAAACATAGTTGGAGAGATAAATACAGAAAATTACAAGTTTGTTTAAGACCATAATTTGACAAAAAATAACAAAAGCAATGCCTGATGCAATTTACCTTTAAAATGTGCTCTACCATGCACATGATAAATTAAAAGCAAGGATATTAAGAGAAGCCATCAAATTCCTAGTAGGAAATCCACTCAAATGGATGATCTTAGCAATCTGGTTGAACAACATTAGGGACCTGGAAATCCCAATTCATTAAAAGAGACAATGCAGGGAACAAATATAAGAATGAAGTCATCTTCCCAAACAAGCAGCAAAAATTAACAGCTGTACAATAGTGATTAACAAGAGAAGAGGGAACAAGAGTTTCAATAGAGCATGATAAACATACGGGTTATATGCGTGACTGTAACTGCATGTAGCTCAAAAGATTACAATTACAGAATGATTTCAACTTATCCATTTATGAGGGAAGTTCCTCACCAGAGTCTGACATATCTGATTCTGCTAAATTGTTAAAAACAGGAAGTTTCTTGCGCATCAAGTGCTTACGTCTCTGTAATGTCAACAGGATAAAGATACTATCTGTCTGAAGAACATTGTATCCTGCTTTTATGTACATGTTGAATGGAGCCTCATCAATCATTCTGCAATGCAAGTACACCTCTTTTGAAGAAGTCATTTGAGATATTAGTTCCTCACTTGCCTTGAGAAGATGCCATCCAATGCCCCTCCTAAATGATTTCAAAAGCAGACACCAAGAATTTTAATTACTAACAAAAAGGCCACATATTTAAACTGAACAAGTAGTGCCGAGAAAATTTCTGTGTAAGTACATGCCATAAGAATAATCAAAATACAAAAAAAACAAAAAAAATTGGAGCAATGATTCAGGATATAGCAAATATCATTGGGCAGCACTAAACTAGTCAGCCTCTTGATTCTAAACTCAAACTAGAAAACTTCTGAACATGCAGATTATACAAGGATTCATAGAGTTAAGAAAAATCAAGCATTGAGAAAAACTTTAAGATATAACAAATAAATCAGAATAAGTTAAATATAAAGAATCTAGTGGCTTGTCTACTAAACTCTATCACTGAAAAATTCCATCACAAATTAAATAGATGAGATCTGAACTACCCTTTGACAGTCTTACAGCATTATTTAATCAATTTTCTTTCCAGACTTAGCAAAGTGTAAATAGTAAGTCCTGCAGCTCAAATTTTTCCCCCTAATTAGAGCCAAGAAAGGCCATTTCCAAAGATTTTCCATTAGTGAATTATCACTGGAGAAAAAAACTGACAAATGAATAACTCAACCTGAAGTGAGAGCATATTGACTATAAGAACAGCTTCTTACTCCTACGATGGCTTAAACATTACAAATCCTTTATGGTCTTTCACTTAGTGCTTAACCTACTAATAATCTTGAACCTACTAAGGGTGTAACAGAACTATACAAATGAAAAACTCAACTTGGAATGAGAACACGTTGAACACAAGAAAAAATTTCATAGTCATCAGATGACTTTAGCATTACAAATCCTAAGTTGTCTTTCATTTAGTTATTGATCTATAATTAATCTTGGCCCCACAAAAGTGTGTAAAATTACAAATCAAGAAGTCATTATTCCCCTCCACTAATATCCATCAAATCAGAAATTAAAAAAAAAAAACAAAAACAAATAACCTTATACCTTCTGAGCTGCTTTGTGACTGTCATGTTACAAATATAAGGCGAATTCTTGGGAGGGGTAGGTGAAGGAGGAGAAGAGTTAGCACCCCTTTTGTCAAGGCAAATTTCCACGGTCCCAGCCAGTTCCTCTCCTCTCCGTCCATTCTCTCTATAAAACCCAACAAGAGTCACAGCATGTGGCATCACAGCTCTTCTCTCAATCAAATACTGCTTGACCAAGAACCTCAACAAAGCCTCATATCCCAAAGGCATCAACATTGACTCAGCAAATGACTCGGCCAACAACCCAACAGTCAAATCCATCTCCTCGGCCCTCATGGCACGAACCCACAACGACCCAGATTCCAACTCTTGAAGATAAACAAAAGACTCCAAAGCTTTGAGCTTTTCAAGCTCTTCATTGGTTAAAAAACGGCTTCCCCTAAAAGGGTCATCAAGAAAGGAGTAGTGCTGAGCTGGCGTAACTGAGTTGGTGGAGGAAGAAGAAGGGAGAGAACATTTGAAATTGTAACGGTCAAGTTTGTGGAGAGACAGAAGAGGGTTTCTGGAAGAAGGAAAGGGAAGGCCTTTGGTGGGGTTAAGGTGGGTATGTAAGTGCTGTTGTCGGGGATCTAAGTAAGGAGATAATGAAAGTGCTGCAGCTGCCATAGGAATAGGAGAGTGTTTGTTCTCTTTTTTCTGTTTCTGTTGACTTATTTGAGATCAGAAGTTGATGATGAGATAAATTGGGAACAGTATCGTATAGTCATTAAGCAAAATATTTTAACTGAATGTCTTCTTTTCTTTGTGAAATTGTCGCTTTTCCTTTTTTTTTCATTAAAGGTTTTATCTTTGTGACTTTGGGCCACTGGCAGAATAACAGACAGACAGACTGCTGGGTGAGTTGAGATGAAACTAGTCAGGAACTAAATCCAGCGATGCTGTTTGAAGGCACGTGTTGTATTACAGCAAAAGGTGTCGTGTCTTCCTCAATTTTCTGATTTTTCCTTGAGGACCTGGACAGGACAAAGGGTTTTTTTTTTTCCCCGTTCTTGTTCCCCAATTTTTCCTGATGAACTTGAACAAAGCCAGATCCAAAAGTTATACTAGTACCACTACACGAATATGACGGGTGGCTGCAGTGGGCTACTGAATCCATACCGTACTTTTTGGTGACTGCAACAGTAATCCTTGGATGAAAGTTTGCTAATGTCACAAAGGTTTTAAGAAACTGTTGGAAACAGGTTTACCTGGCAGTGGGAGCCAGAAAATGTGTGACTCACTTTGCAAAAAGCTTTTGAATTAGCTGCAAAAGCAGATAACATTGGCTCAACAAAAATCACCTTGTAGTTTAATGGTTGGATATATTCCCAATCTTGCCCTTTAAAATAAAGAATTCTCTTCTTTTCCTTCTTCGTCCTTGGTAGCTAGATGGGGAGTCTGCGTGGCCAGAACTCGCCATCGAGGCTCGATTTGACCTCTTGATAAATGGCCTAAAATGGCCTTGTAAGCTTCAGACCTGCCTTGTCGAAACTAGGATCGATGGCCCTGTCCCCGGCGGCCGCTCATTCCTCTTTTGTCTCCACTCTCTTTATGGTGTTTTCCATTTTCTAAAAGGGCAAACAAAATAAGGCTAAAATGGGATAAACAAACATTGTCTTTACCCTTGGTAGTCTTTGTGCATCTTTACACTCCATTAATCCCTCATTTTTCTTCTTTCAGCTAAGGTTTGAGCTTTTTGCAGCTAATTTCATGGCTTTTACCAGATACCCCTCGTGAGTCGTGCTCTCAAACTTTTAATTTCTTCCAAGGGCTGTTGTCACACCCGCCAAAGTGGACAGTATGGACCATACCGTTACATTTGCCGTTTATTTGTTCCAGAAATACGCGCCAAATGGTTATTTACATCGTACGATTTTGGGAGAGGTGCGAGGGTATTTCTCAAACAAACAGAGAGCAAATGTACTTTCTATACAAGCTAATTGGATCAACAATGCTAAGAACTACACCTAGTACAGTTCTAAAGTTCTTCATCCAAACAACCTCTTTTGTTGCCTTAAATGTAAAGATATATTTAATTTCGATTGTAGAATTTGATATATATATATATATATATATATGGGAGAACGACACAAGATTAGATTATACATAACGGAATCAATAATTTTAAAATGTATGAAACTTATGCTATCATTCATAGATCTCTTTATTAGTTTTTAATACAAAATATACAAATTAAAAAAGTAATCTAAAAATATCACCTAGACAACTGATGTAGCAATCACGATGGTAAAATCACTTTGGAAAAACGCAACACTATCACAAAGAAGTGGAAGAACTTGAGCCACCTAAATGTTTGACCTTCTCATACAGTTGCACTTGAACGTTCTCCAAGGTGGGGCTCTCAGCTATGCCTTGTACTAACAAAGTGGACAACAACTTGTTCTTTTCCTCACCCACTCTTTGGCCAAACCATAAGAGACTTTCTTCTCAAGGAATTCTCTCTCAAGGTGCAACGGCTAGAGAGGTTTTTCTTTGTTAGTTTTTCTGACAACTAATTCAATTTTGAGGAGTAGTTAAAAAATGACTTTTATACCTAGGTTTATTAACTTCTTTAGTTTGCAGATAAGTTCTCAATATTATAACTTCTTACAATATTGACCTAGTACTTAATTAAACCATTTTAATTAAGTGCTTTGAAGGTAAAAAGCTAGTGTATGATGTAAGTCTAACTTAATCGTCACACTTCTAATTTAATCCTAATGCAACTTATTGTGTGTGATCCATTAAGTTCTCAACATGTTGACAATGGAACTGAATTATAAATTTTTTATTAATTAATTTAAATGAACCATATTCATTATAAATCAGTTAATTTAATTCAATAAACTAAGATTGACATCTAGCAATGCATCATGACCGCCCAATTATTAAAAGAGTCAAAACGCTCTTTAACAACCTTTCAATGTATAATCTATCAATGTAATTTATTTTCTCATTATATATCCCAAAGATAATAAGAGTATGGTGTAGTGTCCATTCTTATTAATCTCCATATTTGTTCTTGTAGTTAAATCATTAGCTTTATAGATATTTATGAAACTCATTTCCTAATCTCCAAATAACCTTGGCCAAGGATTTCATCAAGGTAAGATTAATCAAGAATTATTAAGATATGTCCCCTTGTATCACTTGGGATGATGATTCATATCTTAACCACTATTTACCTTTACATGCTTTATGCTATACCGAAAGCATCCTGATTTAACATCCTTGATAAGACCTATAAAGATAAAATTAAAGTATAACACTCAACATATGAAACATCCTAGTGTCTCAAATCTAAAGAGTATTTATACAACTAACACATGATAAGTATTGCATAGAACTAAAGTAAGATACCAAATGCGCTTCTCATGTTGAGTCAGGTTTAATGAACTTGCTCTCCAAAGGCAAGCACCCACATGCTACTTTAGAGTATCTCTATACTTCAACTTATGAGATTAGTTGTTTACTTCACAAGTAAAGAACATAGCACATGCTGACCTTTGAGTATTATTTATGCCTCGTCTCAATAATACAATAATTAGGAATTTTTAGGAACAATGTTTTGATGCTTAAGAACTTGATAATTGTACCTCTATACAATTCCTTTATAAGGCATATATAGTTCCTTGGGCTTTATCTACATAAGTATAAATAATAATTAAACTACAAACTTATGGATAAATAATAAATAACAAAATGTCACACATAAATCTCAAATTATAATTTCATACAACCATAGATTGGCTTACAAGGCTCACACTAACATATATATATATATATGTACTTCATTTGCAGTTATGTTTGGATTATTAGTCATTGACGAATATGTCTGAGACATGTGAGGTGAGTTATTTGGACTAGGTTCTTGCTTGTTGTATATTGGTTAGTGTATATTTAAGCAATTATTTATTCCTTGTAAATTTGTCCTAATAATGGATGGTCTTGAAGAAATGGAAGCTCTAGCTGTCTTAAAATCCGTTTTATGGGTTGTTGTGGATGAATCATCTCCTAGAATATTTAAGCTTCTAATAAAAATGGTGGCTTGTCCTAAATTAAAAGATTATCTTTAAGGCATTCTAGTGGTCTGTTAAAACCTAATTCTACAAATTCATCTCTGTATTGAACTATATGGTTTATTTCTATATTTTGGATGGGAACAGGAATCGTAACTCCTTCAAGTCTCCATTTGTTTAGGAGTTGGACTTCATGCTAGTGTATGGTCATTGGTATGGTAGCATGAAACTTGGACATGTTTGTTTAAATTAGGAAAGTTTCTCTTCTTGTGCTATAGATTAAAGCCTTGGTATTGATCACTGAATACATGGCCTTATAATATAGTTTATAAACTAAGGTCAATGGTTTAAATCATGGCATCATTTTGTAATTATGTGTTTGGATTTGGAATGTCAAGGAGTTTAAGATATTCTTATCTTTCAAGGATACCATAAAATTGGAGAAATAATTTATATATATTAGTCTTCTACACAGACTTGTTTATACTGTCCTTAATAAAGAGTCATCAAAATAGAGATGTCTTTTATCTTTAAGAGCAATAAGGATGGAAGTATCTAATCCTTTTTTTTTTTGTGAGTGGTTTAACTCCTACTTAAACTAATCCAAAATGAATATAATTATATTTTTGGTGCCTGATTTTTGCTATTGTCTCTTGATCCAAGAGTTAGATATTTTCATATTGGTTTTGGATAGGTATGCCTTTTTCTTTGGTTTCGATCAAATATCCACATAAGGAATGTAGATACAGGTTATGGAAGGTTGATGATTTATATATTTAGTTTTGGGGACTCTTAGGGAATTTCTCAATTATCTATGTCTGTGATACTGTTTTTCTAATGAATGTTTTCTTCATTGGTTTTATATCACAATTTGTAATGAAAGAGTCTTCCAAAACCAAATGTATTAATTATCAACCTTCCATAACCTACATCTACGTTCCTTATGTGGATGTTTGATTAAAACCAAAGAATAAGAAATATCCATCCAAAACCAATGTGAAAATATCCAATTATTGGATCAAAAGATAATAGAAAAACTCAAACACCTAAAATATAATTATATTCATTTTGAATTAGTACAAGGAAAAGATAAATTGCTCACAAAAGAGGGATTGGATACTTTCATCCTTATAGCTCTCAGAACTAAAAGACATCTCGATTTCAATGACTCTTTATTAGGGATAGTAAAAGCAAGTCTATGTATAGAACCAATAAATTTCAATTGTTTCCCTAATTTTATGGTATCCTTGAAAGATAGGAATATCTTAAATTCCTTGATACTCTAAACCCAAACACATAATTACAAGATGATGTCAAGATCTAAACCACTAACTTTAGTTTATAGATTATATTATAAGGCCATGTATTTAGTGATCAATACCAAGGCTTTAATCCACAGCCCAAGAGAAGAACTTCTCCTAATTCAAACAAACATGTCCAGGTTTCACATTACCATACCAAGGACCATACATTGGCATAAAGTCCAACTCCCAAACAGATGGAGACTTCAAGGAATTACAACTTTTATTCTCATCCAAAATATAGAAATAAACCATATAGCTCAATATAGAGATAGATATGTAGAATTAGTTTTAACATGTTAGAAAAAATAAACATAAAGCAAACTACCAAGAGGGGGTGAATTGGTTATTAATAAAAAATTTCCTTTTTTTCAAAAATAAGGTTAATCGTGAAAGAATAAAGCAATAAAATAGAGTATAAACTTAATGAGTAAAGAGCAATAAAATAAAAAAGGACTTAACAAGATTTTTAAAAAGGTTTGGCCTTCCATTTCCTAGTCTTTTTCCTTGATAGCACAAGGAGTTTAAATCAACTATCAGCTTGCCTTTTTAACAAGATCAGGCATAACTTTTATAACATGCCTTTTGTAGGATCAAGTATAACTTTCACAACTTGCCTTTTGTAGGATCAAACGTAACTTCTACCATGATACTGCATTTTTAAGTTAAAACACAACCTTTACAAAAGAACAAGCTTTTTAAAGGATCAGACAAAACTCCTCTACCTTTTGCTTGGAGGTATAACCAATACAATGGTGGATTCAAGTGAACCATAATTAAAACCCTTTTAAAAGGTGGATAATGAAGTTTAGGTTCAGAAATA